CACCTTCAACTGGTGCCACCCAATCCCAATAAATACCTGCTTTGAAAACACTTCCCAAAGAGAACAAATCAATGGCTACTGATTCTAAATCCATTTGGTGCACACTTGCTGCATGTCACTTATATCCAGTCATGAACAAGAAGGCATATATTGTGCACGTGCAGGCAAGTTAATTGGGAAGGGGGATAATTCTGGTGACATTTCATTAGAATGCATGACATGCAAACGAATGCAAGAGGGCTTCCCGATGCCTATCATTTTAAAGTTTGAAGGACTTGATTCCCAAGTTCCCTGCTGATGTCAGGAAGCTGATTTTAGGATTCCTACACGATTAAGTTCCCTGACCTACTTTGTTACATTTTCCTGGTGGCATCACAAAATCTTACCTTCGATGTCTGCCAAGGGACATAGTTGGGATAAGTGAATGAGTAAACATTTAGAAGTTGGAGTATAACATGAGAAGTTCTGAAGTTGTCTATTTCGGTAGAAAGAACAGAAATGCAGAGTGTAGTGATTGTAACAATGTCAATTAAGTGGCCATCATAGAATATCACTGCCCTGATTGGAGCTGTTAATCTGGTCCAATCAGGGAGCCCTGGCTGACAGAACAGGAGTGTCAGACATCTTGTTCACTCTGAAAGCTGGCTCTGAGAGCTGGATCAGTTTCAAGGACTCTACATGTGTAAATAAAGGGTGACTTGGTGAGAGGATACTGGCCTCTGTTGAGTTATTTCACAGAGTATTACTTAATCTGAGAGAGACTGCAGAATGCTGCAGTAGGGAAAGATCTGAGTGTTCTTTTACATGAACCACAAAAATGTCAGCATGTAGTTACAGCAAGTAATTAGAAAGGAAAATTGAATGTTGGTTTTTCACTGCAAGGGGATGCAAAATTTAAGTAAGGAAGTTTTGCTACAGCTTTCCAGAGCATTGGTGACGTGATACCTAGACTGCTGTATACAGTGTCATGATAGTACTAAAATTACAAGGTCATAAGATTTTGGAGCAGAAGTAGGCATTTCAGCCCATCAAGTCTGCTCCATCATTCAATGAAATCATGGCTGATGTGATAATCCTCAATTCCACTTTCCTGCTTTATCCCCAGTAACCCTTGATTCCTTTTCTGACTAAAAATCTATCTCAGCCTTGAACATACATAGCCACACAGCCTCTGCATTTCTCTGTGGTAAAGCATTCCACAGATTGACTGAGAGGCAGAATTCCTCCTCATCTCTGTCTTAAGTGTGCAATCCCTTAATTTGAAATTATGCTCCCTACTTCTGTACTCTCCCACAAGGGAAAACAACCTCTCCACATCAAAAATGGGAACATTGGTTTTGAATTCCATTATCTGATTTTAATCTCTGTGACGTTAATGAATTGAAATGATTTTAAAAATGAGAAATACTGATGTAAAATGGATACAGGATCAGCTGCCCATGTCACACATATTAGCCAAGCTTCAAGAAACCAACATGAAATAACCGAAATCCTCTGAAGAACATCTAATCAGAGGACCCAAACTAGCCCACTCACTCAGGTATGAAAATCTCCTCATTTACCTGTATTTTACATGTTGGAGATGAAACATATCATCTGCGATCATCAAGCTTGGAACAATGAACACCGACATTGTCGCACAGAAACCAGCTTGTATTTCAGGGAACTGCACTAGGCAGAGCAGGGAGATGGATTTGTAACATCAGTACTCAAGAAATTTCTCTCACTTGGCCTTTCAAAATTGATAAAACCTTATGGCTCAAGCTACCTGACCAACTTTCAACTGTATGTTCCAATCATCTTCCTTTTATACTGGGCTCAATTAGACAGCTGTTTGATTGATAACTGATAAGGGATTAAAGGGTTTAGGATGGTCAGGTAGGGAAAAGAACTTAAGGTTACACAGTCAAGTCAACATGATTTATTGAATTGCAGAGCCAGATTGAGGGCCTAAATCAGCTACTCCTGCCCATATTTCTAATGTTTACATGATTTTTATTTGGACAATATTAGGAGATAGTAAGTAGTATTGTGAAGTTGTGTATAGTGTGCGGTTCCTTTAAGAGATAAAGTGCACTTCTAAGCTTTGAGATTTATACAGAAAAAAATGTGCCTGTATGTAGCTGAAAATGTACAGCCAGTTCTAAAATTGAAACATGTATCAATTGGCTGTGTGATTGGAAACCTTAGGCTTGTTTTGATGTTTTGGAAACTAGCTGGAATTAGCCAACTAATTTAAACCAAGCACTTAGCGATTGAAAGCCAATTGAATGTAAATCTGATGGTTTTGACAACATTGGACCTATGCTATTGTAAAAAAATTGATATGTCATCCAAGATAGAAAAGGAGAGAGTGTTTTGAAAATCGGGGGTGGGAGTAAACCGTCATCTGAGAAATAAACATCAGGCTCTCACAAGAAATCGCTAAGCTCTCTAAGAAAGCACCATTTTATTCATAAAAGGTACCACGGCACTTCTAACTAAAAGTCGTCACAGAGAAAACATCCCTGAGAGCAGGATCAGCAGAAGAAAGGTGTTTATGACTGGAGAGACAATGGAGAAGGCAGAGTATTCTAGAAGACACATTCTGTGTGAACTTTGGGAGGCTAAGTTTTAATTTTTTTTCTTATTACTTGGGTTATATAAGTGGTACTTGTGTTTATTGGAATAGCATATCCGTAGAAGTTTGTTCAGTTAGGGAATAGATAGGAGTTGGGGGGAATTGTTTGGTTTGTTAGTAGATCTGTTGTTTTGGTCACAGTTATGGTTAAATAAATAAATTGTTACTTGTTACTTATAAAGTGAAAACCAAGGATTTTCTTTCATTTAATCTCCACTTCTCCATAACAGTTGATCAAACCATCTTATAGTGCATATGTAGGAACATAGGAACAGAAGTAGGCCATGCAACCCCTCAAGCCTGTTCCGCCATTCAATGAGATTGGGGCTGATCAATCACCAAACTTTGGCCCATATCCCTTTATATCTTTGCATAACAAAAAAATTAAATATATCAGATTTAAGATTAATAAATGATCCAGCATCCACTGCCATTGGTGGAAGAGATTTCCAAACGTCTACCACCCTTTGTGCTTCCTAATATCTCTCCTGAACAGTCTGGACCTAATTCTCAGATTTTGCCTCTAGTTCTAGAGTCTACAAACAGTGGAAATAATTTCATTTTATTTACCCTGTCTGTTGTCTGAATGGCTGTGTTTTATTAACATTTATATGAGCTAATAAGAAGAGCAATTCTTCATGGGCACTTGGAATTCTTTAATATTATTTTTGTATATTTCACAAACTTCCTGCTGAATAATATAGCTCATTGATCCTGTTCCTAAAGGATATTGGATTAGTGTATCAAACCTTCAGCATTTATCAGGATATTAGATTAATGTGAAAATCAAGCTACAGAATCTCCTACATACTGTAATATCTGACTCTCCATAATGAATGCAGAATGCAGAGAAGTTTATACACCAAATTACTTTAGTACATCTGAATTTTTACACGGTATTAATCAGTTTAATGGCCTCTGACCTTTAAAGGAGAGAACCCCATAATCATTCACAGTATTAATGACATTTAGTTTTATAAGATGAATCTGACAGCTTAGTTAGGAAGAGGTATTAAATTTACTTTTTAAAAGGTTCCCAAATCCTCACAGCCTTCCCCTAAAAGATCATGAACTAACTTACCTGGTGGTCTGCTTCCTACAGCTTTCAGGAATACACCCAGCTTGATGAACGTAACAACCTAACGGAAGATTGTATTTGGAACAGGCACTTAAATGGCAACCCTGACATCTCTTTAGGTGTATGGTTGTTATCAGCCTTACTTTAATTCTGCACCCTCTTGCAATGAAAATGAATATTAAATCTTCCTTTGTAATTACTTGCTGTAACAGCATGCTGACTTTTTGTGATTCATGTAAAAGAACACTCAGATCGTTCTGTACTGCGGCATTCTGCAGTCCCTGTCCATTTAAATAATGCTCAACTCACGATCCAACACATTTTCCAAGGTTTGGAAGGCTGCCTGAATGAGTTTTGGAATACTGTGTTCAATTCTGGTCTCCCTGCTAAAGGAAACATGTTATGAGACTTGAAAGAGTTCAGAAAAGAAAGGGTTGGAGGGTTTGAGCCTAAGAGAGAGGCTGAAAAGGCTGGGGCTATTATCCCTGGAGTGTCAGAAGTTGAGGGGTGACGTTATAGAAGTTTATAAAATCATGAGGGGCATGGATTGGGTGAGAAGCCAAGGTCTTTTCCCCAGGGCAGAGGTGTCCAAAACTAGAGGACATAGGTTTAAGGTGACAGGGGAAAGATTTAAAGGAACCTAAGGGACAGCTTTTTTACACAGAAGGTGGTGCGTGTATGGAATGAGCTGCCAAATGTGGTGGTGAGGCTGATACAATTACAACATTAAAAAGCATCTGGGTGGCTTTATAAATAGGAAGATAATAGAGGGATATGGGCCTAGATTGTTTTAGGATATCTAATTGGCATGGACGAATTAGTCTGTTTCCGCACTGTACATCTCTATGAATCTATTTAGTAAACTACAGCCCCACATGCCTCCCATTTGGTCCTCCTGATGTGTGTTTGCTCATTGTCAGGAAGGGAAATCCAGCCTAGGCTTCACAGAGGAAGAGTCTCCTGTCAGGTATTGATTCAGAATCAGTGACCTTTTGATGGCTTTATTCCAATGCCAAAGGGTATGTCAGAGGACGACAAATGTACAAATCAGAAACGCAACAAATGTATGAGCATTCTTGAAAAAGAAAATAGAAGAATAGCACATTACTTGAATTGTGAAACTCTGCTAACATTCTATGGTGAATTTAGACTAATTTCTCTATCCCACCCATGGAAATACATTTTGCTCATAATGAAGACCAATGAAAAATGAGTTTTACATCAATTTAGAGAGTTGAATAGTAACTTGTGATACTGAAAGGCAAGTCCTAAGCAAGTACAGAAATGAATATTTATACATACCGTCATATGGAATTAGTCTAAAGTAACCTGCACATTCTTGAGAGTTGTTCAGGATATTCACTAAGGTGACATAGAACAACTTGGCCTGCTCTAGACGCTTTTCTTTGCTAAAGGCTGCAGAGGCATCATTCGACATTTCAAACAGTGACCCCAGTGGTGTGGCATATTCAAGGACACAGTGATGAGGCTATGACAGGGAGGAAGGCACAACATTACTGAATGGTTAATAGTAAATTCAAGGAGCAAGTTAATGAAGTTGTTATCTATTTTCATATCAATAGGTAATTTTACCAAAGTTTGAATAGGTCGATATTTATTTATCTTAAGTATAATTTTCAGAATGAATACCACCAAAAAATTTCAGTTTGTAAACAACTCTTATTATGTAATCATATATTATTCTGCAAAATTCAACTCCAGAAGGTAGAAGATAATCTTTAATTATTTGAAATGCATTCTGTACCCTGTTATTTTGATCATAAATAGTATAAATACTATTCTTGTAACTTCTTGCTTTTATCCCGGCTCTATCAATACAGATCTCTGGCAGGTTTTGATAGAATTCAATCTTACTGTCCATCTTCTCCAGTTTGCCATAAACCTTACAGCTGAACGGGATTAAGATATACAACTTCCAATTTTCTTTGCAATCTAGTACATTTCTAACGTTGTGTCTTTTTATTCTTTCTTCCAGATCTGAAAAGCACAACAAAACATTGTTAACTTCAGCAGCGACTCAAAATAAACAATGTAAAGGAATATTTTAAATTTCAAATCATACAGGGAGGTGCAGTTTCAATTTGACGATTTCACTTAAGTTTTACAAATATTGTTAGCAGTTTGGATGTTAGTGCTGTCTATGCAATTGTGTAAAATGTTCTTGTAATATTTTAAATAATAGATCATTTTCATTATTACTAAAGGTAAAACAAAGTATTTTAAATTTAGAGTAACTGCTAATAAAAATTTAAGTAAATGCACAGTACCCTGTACTGTGAGAGTTAATAAAGTCAGTCCTCATGTCACTCTGAAATTAACCACCCTCCACACCAGAATTGGATTTGGTAAGGGTTCCTGTATATTGCTATTATGCAGTGCTTCCCATAAAAATTTTGTGTGGTATTTGGATTTGATCTAATGGCAAACGAGGTGGTTACTGTTGTATGTGCTGAAATGCCATTAGATTCATGGAGTCATGCAGCGCAGAAAACACCCTTCAGCTCATCGAATCTGTGTCGACACAACCACTATTAAAAGTGCGCTAATGCCAATTTCCTGCACTTGTTTCATACTGTTGAATGTCATGAAATTTGAAGTACTTAAATATTTTTAAAGTTTGTAAGGTTTCTAGCCTTCACTACCTTCTCAGGTAGTGCATTTCAGATTCCCATCACCTTCTACTGGTAAGGTTTTTCTCAAATCGCCTCTGAATCTCCTGCCCCTTACCCTAAAACTACACCCTCTCATGGTTGACCCCTCAACCAAGGGGAACAGCTGCTCTCTATTCACCCTGTCCATACCCCTTATAACCTTATACACCACAGTCATGTCCCCCCTCAGTCTTCTCTCCTCTAAAGCAAACAATCCAAGCCTAATCTAGTCTCTCCTTATTGCTCAATTTCTCCATTCTAGGCAACATCCTGATGAACCTCCTCTGAACTCCCTCTAGTGCTATCATGTTCTTCCTGTAGTGAGGTGACCATAACTGCACACAGTACTCCAGCTGTGGCCTGACCAACACTCTATACAGTTGCAACATTATCTCTTTGCTCTAATACTCTATGCCATGACTGATAAAAGCAAGTGTCACATATTTCTTTTTAACTATTCTATTCACGTGCTCTGCTGATTTCATGGATCTGTGAATAATGACCCCAAAATCCCCCTGTTCCTCTAAGCCACTCAGTGTTCTGCCATTCATTAAATATTCCCCTCAACTTGTTTCTTCTTCCAAAGTGCATCACCTCACATCTATCAGGGTTAAGTACCATCTGCCACTGGTCTGCCCATCTGACCAACACATCTATATCTTCCTGTTACCTACAAGCATCTTCTTCACTTTTAACCACTTTGCCAGTCTTGGTGTTGTCCGCAAATTTGCTTAACATTCCCCGCATTTTCATCTATATCATTTATGTATATAGCAAACAATAAGGGTCCCATGTTCTGATCCTTGTGGTACACTGCTGGACACCGACCTCCCGTCACTCAAACAACCTTCCACCACTACTCTTTGTGTCCTATTACTAAGCCAGTTTCTGATCCAATCTGCCAGGTTTCCCTCAATTCCATGTACTTTAACCTTCTCAATCTGTCCCCCATGTGGGACCTTGTCAAAAGCTTTTCTAAAATCCATAGAAACTACATCATCTGAACTTCTTTCATCCACAAAATTGATGACATTTTCAAAAAATTCTAACAAATTTGTTAGGCATGACCTCCTTCTGAAAAAGCTATGCTAACTATCCCTAATTAACCCATGCCTTTCCAAGTGGATATTGATCTAGAATGCCAAGGGTAAATAGGGAATAAATGGGAATGACACCACCTGTAACTTGCCCTCCAAGCCATTCACTATCCTGACTTGGACATATATCACTATTCCTTCGGTCTCATTGAGTCAAAATCCTGGAATTCCCTCCCTAATGACATTATGGGTCAGCCTACAGCACGTAGAATGTAGAAGTTCAAGAAGACAGCTCACCACTACCTTCTCAAAAGCAACTAGAGATGGGCAATAAATGCAACACCCTCATCCCGTGAATTAATGAAAATAAATGCCAATCACTACCAGTTTATGGTTGCGATAATTTTCTGCTATCATTCTCTTTCCTTGAATGGGTCTAATGGTCTACTTGGTCTCCAGTGGTAGAGGAAAGTCACTTGTAAACCTTAACTAGAATATTGTTGTAAACAAGATGTAGCTCATTGCATGATACCAATCAGGTACAAGTTACATTAAGTAATTCTTACAAAGATTATGAGAAGACCTAGGTTAAACAGGTCTGCTCTCTTTGAGATCCGAAGATGTCTTTTCCCCACCCAAGACCATATGATTTCAGATTGGGTGGAGCATAATGCAGTCTCCAGCATTAATCCTGTCATAACCATTACCTTATATAACAGTGACCTTGGAAAAGGTTCAGAGGAAAGCTACAATAAATTTTGTCGCAAAGGAACATCAGTTACTCACAGGTAGGTTGTCCTATTGATAAGTTACTTCAGTTTTGCAGATTGGGATGGAACAGGTGAGACATGGTTAAACAATAAGAACCAGAGTAGATCAGAAATTAGGGGTTATTTTTAAGTATTTGGAATACATTACCCAGTGGTGTGCTCTGTCTGTTTGTTAATCTCAAGGGGGAGCTGGACAGGTTCCAGATAGAGGTAGATTTAGCATCCTTTAGAGTGCAAATATCTTTATATATAACATTTGGCTCAGCTGATCTTGTGGAATGGTTTTAACTGCCTGAGGGGACTGTATGTCATTTTACACTTTTTTTTATTCTTTAACAACTCTGGGTATTTCTTCTGTTTCCTTTGCCTCTTCCAGAAGCCTACATGCCTGGGGGGTGCCTGTGGTGTGAAAGATTGTTTAGAATGTAATGGTCAAACCATTGTGACGTGGAGTCACTTGATGGGCCAGTTAATCTTTTCCTGCCACCAGTGTTGCATGTTTATAACTAGGGACGGCTAATGAATCCTGGTCTTGCCATTGGAACTCATATCCCAAGAATGAATAGTAATAATAGTGAGTGAAAAAAGATCAACAAAAGAAAATGAGGATGTCAGAAATCAACCAAACATTGGAAGGATACATTGGATATTACAAGAGTAGTGGTGTGTAAAAGATATCAAAGGGAAGTATCATAAAAAAAACTCGAAGGCCAATGTACTAACCAAAAAGGAGCATGGGGAAAGAATAGAGAAAGGTGCAACAATAAATTCTACAAGGAAACAAAGTAACTGCGAATCTGTAAGTAATCAAGGAAATCAAGACATTGTGCAGTGCAGGTTTTTGAAGAGACTGGAAATTCTATGTCTCAATATGAGCCACCTGAGCCTTCTCTACTATTTATGTTGATCTGATTGTTACCTCATGTATTTTCCAATCAAGTCATCTCTTAATCTTCGAAACTCCAGTGGTTATGAGTCCAGCCTATGCAACCTTTCCTCAAAAGGCAAAACACTCATTCAGGGTATTATGCTGCTAAACTGGTGTTATTTTGGTCTCCTTATTTGAGGAAGGATGTTTTGGCTATGGAGGGATTGCAATCAAGGTTTACTAGATAACTCCAGGGATGGTAGGACTGACATATGAAGACGGACTGGATCAGCTAGGACTATATTCATGGGAACTTAGAAAAATGAGAGAAAATCTCATGGAAACTGTTAAAATTCTAACAGGACTAGACAGGGTAAATGGGGGAAGGATATTCCCAATCACCAGGAAGTCTAGAACCAGGGATTGCAGTCTAAGCATACTGGATAGGCCATTTAGGACTGAGATGAGACATTTCTTTACCCAGAGAGTAGTAAGCCTATGGAATTCTCTCCTACAGAAAGCGGTTAAGGCCAGAGCATTGCATGTGTTCAAGAAGGACATTGATGTAGTTCTTAGGATTAAAGGGAAACAGAGTTGGATTATCAACCGTGATCACATTGAATGGTAGCGCAGGCTTATCGGGCCAAATGGCCTAATCCTGCTTCTATTTTTTTATGTTTCTATGTCTCCTTTACCCCTATCCACTCCCTGTTCATTTACGTTCTCAAATGTTTCTGTGTTAACCATCTCTGAATTGCGTCCAATGCAGTTATATCCTTTCTTAAATAAGATGACTAATACTGTGCCCAGTGCTTTGTATGAAGCAAGAACTCCCTAACTTTATAAGTAATTCACTTACAATAAACAATAACATTCTATTAGCATTCCTAAGTAATTGCTGTTTCTTTTACAACTAATGCACTAGATCCCTGTACAACTCAGAGCTTTGAATTCCGTTCCATTTATATAATATGCTTCTTTTTTGAATTCTTTCTGCCAAAATGGACAGTTTCAGATTTCCCACATTGTATCCCATTTGACACATCTTTGCCCACTCATCAGCCTATCTATATTATTTTGCAGTCTCCTTACTTACACTTGACAACTTATTTTTCAACCTAACTTGGTATCAACAGCAAATTTGATAATCATAACTTCAATTCCTTCATCCAAGTCATTTATATAAATTGCCTGATTTTTTATAGGACCAGCGATCACCTTGTACTTTGTGCCAACTCTGATATAGTCCATTGTTCATCATATTTGTTGGTGAGACTGGGGATGGGGGATGTTTGCTGTTGTTGAGGCATGGTGGCAGAAGGGAAATGAGTTAGTGGTGGGGGGTGGGACTTAATACTAATCACGTCAAGAAATGAGAGCAGTAGAAAGCAAACTTGCAATCGTCCAATTTGCCTGCTCTCCCAATGCGCCTGTTCCATCTTGTGGCTGACAGCACAAGCACAGCGGAGCTACATGTGAAACAAGAATCTCAAACTGCCACTGGAGGAGATTTTGGACAGTTGCCCATATTGCTGTAGTAGAAATACAGGACAAATGGCATCCTGGGAAGAAAATGGGGACAAATAGCTAACTGATGATCAGTGTGGTCACAGGTCAGACTGTTGCTGATCATTATTCTGCATTAAAACTGCAGTTTGGAATACTGAATGTTGTAAGTCAAGCTCCTTGTGCCCCCCTTCTCTCAATTGTGCTGCTGTGATAAACACTGCTCCAAAACTTTTAGTGGATTACCTCATACTTGTCTAAATTGAGAGCTTGTGCTTTCATTCTGCTTATATCCTTAACCTCTCAATATTACTTTATAATCATATGCTCCCAATTACACTGCTTATGATGTTACCTAACATCACGTCATTGACAAATTTGGACATGTGGCTTTCTTTTCCATGGTCTAAGTAATCCATTAATACAGTGAAAAACCACAGCTCCTCACAAGATACCACTTGTCATATTCTGCCAGTTAGACTACCTGATTATTGCACTATTTCCTGGCTTTCAGCCCATTTCTTAATCAGGGTAATAATGGCCCTCATTTCTTTTAGCATTAACTTTAGCTATCAGTGTCTTTTGAGGGCCTTTATCATGTACCTTCTGAAGTCCTTACAAATAATGTCCATAAATAATCAGTTGTCTACAAATTCCTGAAGATTGTTGTATCATAAATGTCGAGAGTAGTTACCTTCATTGCCAATGATATTCGGAATGCACTATCTGATGCTGAACAATTAGGGAATTGAGCAATTTTTGTGCCCTCAAGCTTCTTGGATTCCCTTACCCCTCTCTGTTCTGTTGGGATAGACAGCCTAATCATACTAAGTATTGTCTAATCGCTTATCTCATTGTTCTGTTGATTTTTTGTTAAGGTCATGTTGGTGAAGAATGAATTGATTCCTTTGTACACAAGCATTTAATTCACTTCTCAAACATCTCAAAGAAAGAGCCATCAAATCCTTGCACAAAATCAGCACGAGCAATAATTGTTTTAAACAAGAATGAAGAACAATTCCCAAGGAATCAGTCTGTTCATCATGAATACTGCACATCCACAAGAAAAACAAAGATTGTGGAATATTTTGATGAAGTCTGGGTGTGGATAGATTTATTCTACCAAGTCCATCAACTAGACAGTGACTCACGACTGTCATAATCACACCTTTGGGTATGTACAGATTATACAAACATACAAATAAGGAACACACGTAGGCCTCTCAGCCTCTTGAGCATGCTGTGGCATTCAATAAGGTCACGGTTCATCTAATTACTTCTCCTAAGTACTCCCAGTAACTTTCCACTACCTTGCTTATCAAGAATCTATCTATCTCTGCCTTAAAAAATATTTAATGACTCTATTATCTCTGCCCTAACGACTGATGACCCTGTAAAGAAATTTTTTCTTACCTCATTTGTTTTGAATGGATGACTCCTGAATTTTTAAAATGTGATCCCTAATTCTAGATTATTCCCAAACAGGAAATATCCTCTCCACACCTGCCTTGTCAAGATCCCTCAGTATCTTACATGATTCAATGAATTTGCCCTCTAAATCTTCTAAACTCTGGCGGATGCAAACCTAGCTTGTCCAGCCTTTCCTCAAAAATTAACCTGTCCATTTCAGGTATTAGTCTTGTATATCACTGAACTGCTTCCAAACACATTTAAGACAACAAGGTGCAGGGCTGGATGAACACAGCAGGCCAAGCAGCATCATAGGAGCAGAGAGGCTGACGTTTCGGGCCTAGACCCTTCATCAGAAAAGGGGGAGGGGAAGGGGGTTTTGAAATAAATAGGGAGAGAGTGGGAGGCGGATAGAAGAGGGATAGAGGAGAGGATAGGTGGAGAGGAAACAAACAGGTCGAAGAGGCGGGGATGGGGCCAGGAAAGGTGAGTGTAGGTAGGGAGTTAGGAAGGGGATAGGTCAGTCCAGGGAGGACGGACAGGTCAAGGGGGCGGGATGAGGTTGGTCGGTAGGAGATGGAGGTGCGGCTTGGGGTGGGAGGAGGGGATAGGTGGGAGGAAGAACAGGTTAGGGAGGCAGGGACGAGTTGGACTGGTTTTGGGATGCGGTGGGGGGAGGGGAGATTTTGAAACTTGTGAAATCCTCCGACACTTCCGCCATCTGCAATCCGACCCCACCACCAAAGACATCTTTCCCTCCCCACCTTTATCTGCTTTCCGGAGGGACAACTCTCTCCGTGACTCCCTTGTCCGCTCCACACTCCCCTCCAGCTCCACCACACCCGGCACTTTTCCCTGCAACCGCAGGAAGTGCTACACCTGCCCCCATACCTCCTCCCTCACCCCCATCCCAGGCCCCAAGAAGACTTTCCACATCAAGCAGATGTTCACCTGCACATCTGCCAATGTGGTATACTGCATCCGCTGTACCCGGTGTGGCTTCCTCTACATCGGGGAAACCAAGCGGAGACTCGGGGACCGCTTTGCAGAACACCTACGCTCGGTTCGCAACAAACAACTGCACCTCCCAGTCGCGAGCCATTTCAACTCCCCCTCCCATTCCTCAGACGACATGTCCATCCTGGGCCTCCTGCAGTGCCACAACGATGCCACCCGAAGGTTGCAGGAACAGCAACTCATATTCCGCTTGGGAACCCTGCAGCCCAATGGTATCAATGTGGATTTCACAAGTTTCAAAATCTCCCCTCCCCCCACCGCATCCCAAAACCAGTCCAACTCGTCCCTGCCTCCCTAACCTGTTCTTCCTCCCACCTATCCCCTCCTCCCACCCCAAGCCGCACCTCCATCTCCTACCGACCAACCTCATCCCGCCCCCTTGACCTGTCCGTCCTCCCTGGACTGACCTATCCCCTTCCTAACTCCCTACCTACACTCACCTTTCCTGGCCCCATCCCCGCCTCTTCGACCTGTTTGTTTCCTCTCCACCTATCCTCTCCTCTATCCCTCTTCTATCCGCCTCCCACTCTCTCCCTATTTATTTCAAAACCCCCTTCCCCTCCCCCTTTTCTGATGAAGGGTCTAGGCCCGAAACGTCAGCCTCTCTGCTCCTATGATGCTGCTTGGCCTGCTGTGTTCATCCAGCCCTGCACCTTGTTGTCTCGGATTCTCCAGCATCTGCAGTTCCTACTATCTCCAAACACATTTATATCTTTTCTTAAATAAGGAAACCAATACTGTATATAATACTTCAGATGTTGTCTCACCAAGCATGAAATAATGAGCCACAGCCTCTCTACCTTTGCATTCAATTTTCCTTGCAATAAACAATAACATTCTGTTTGCTTTCCTAATTATGCTGTATGAATATTATTTTAATTACATCTGGACTTGTTATGGAATTAATTGATGAAGCTAATTAGTATTTAACATTAAAGTATAAAACATACATGCAAAACATGTAGATTTTAAATAGTTCACAATGCAAAATGGTCAACAAAGCAGTGGACATTGACTGGCATTATAATGGCATCAGTAAAAAAGTTATAAAAGGAATGTTACTAATACTCACCTGGCAAAATTAATTTCAGGTAACCAATGTAATAGGACCAAGCCAATCCATGAGCAACATTAAATTTACTCTCCTCACAGATTTCTGAAATTTCAGCTGGAGTGGGGTCCTGTAGAATGATGTCAAAACATATCACTTAGCTAAGTAAATGTATGTACAATAAACACTGAAAATATGTATTTTTGTGGGCACAGGCGTATTTATTAGATTTAACACAAAGTGTTGCAATGTCTGAATTGAGAAAACACTGACAAAAGTATTCTCTCCAAAACTTTAAATACACCACATGTATTTTTGTCAATGTTTTCTAATTCCTATTGAAAATCTACTGATCGGCATCTATACCTTTCTGAAACTCAGAACATCTCAGCCCAAGTACAGTATTCATAGAATTGAAGTTCCCATGTGAAGATAGGAATAGTGGAGAGGAAGAGTAAGATACCATGAATGTGAACGTGCTCCTCAGCTTATTATCGACACAAACAAGATGCTGCACAATTCACTCAATAAAGTGCATATTTAATATGTTATGGACCAGACCAGACCCCCTCAAAATATATTAAGAAGGTAGCCTAGACCCTAAATCTTTCTTATTTCAAAGGTAAATGTCAGGTGCTGTGTTTCAGGTGCAATTTCATTGGTCATACTACTTGAAATTAAGTAAAACACAATTCACTTAAACATTATAGCTAAAATACAACAAAAGAAAGAAGAACTTGGAATAACTTAACTCTATTGGAAAACTTAACATAATAACTATTAACTGTTCCATTACAGTAACATCACATAAATACAGTCTTGGCTCCTCAAGGGTAGGTGGCACCATCTTGTCTCACACTCACAGGGCCAATAATCACTCTAACTCCGCCATTGCAAACACATTCATAAAGCCTCGCAACCTGCATGCATGATGTCCACTGCAGGGCTTACATATTCCTCATCCTCTCAAACGATTAAATGTTCCAGCCCACCACACATCCTACTCTCAGAAGAGATAGCTCAACACCTCATATGGTTTTCATGATCACAAACTGCTCCTGCACCTATTCCCACTCACCAACCATCCTTGTATGTGTCAAGGGCCCTTTAAGAGGCTGGCATCATGAGTGCTCCAGCACGTATGGGTGGTGGCAGCTCTCTAGTTATTTGATGCAGACTTGCAAAAATCTAGCTGTTATGATTACAAATGAGTTGAAACATTAAGGGACTGGAATCCTTATGTTCACAAGCACCACAGAATGGTGACAGGGCACTGTCAAAGTAGTATGAGTTAAATCAATTGCACCTTTCCCCTGTGGGAAGGTGGTGATGGATGAGAATCATGATGCCCTCATTGCCTGAATCTCGTGTCAAGTTGGAGGATGAGAAGAATGGATGGGATACGACAAAAGTTGCATACTGGATACAATTACGAATGAAGGACTGACACATACCACAGAGATCCCAAGTTGCCCCCTTAAGAATCACATTTGCAAAAGATATAAGGCTGTAACTTTGATGGCTGCCAGCATGGGTTTGCCACTGAGTTCTTGTGTCCTCCTCCAACAGCTGACAGAGGTATGATATGGTGGTTTGGACATCCTTAGTTGTCTTCTGCACTGGCTCCCACTCATTTTCGGGTAACTGCACTGAAGGCTGTAAATGCAGTTCCAGGCCAGAACACTTCCACTCTTTGGTGCATATTCCTTTGCTGCTTTGCCCTCTGGAATTTTTTTCTTCATTATTTCCTGGGATTCAGACATTGCTGGCATTTTGTGCTATTCCTTAATTGCCTTGAACTGTTTGGCTTCCCGGGGCTTTTAAGCGACAACCACATTACTTTGGGCCTGTAGTCACATGTAGTCCAGACCAGGTAAAGATGACTGTGAAGGACATTAATGAACCATATGGATTTTTGATGATAGTTTCATGGTCACCATTCTAGATGCCTAGCATTTTTTTAAAACATAGTCCAGATTCATTAATTGAGGTTAAGTGCTGTGGTGAAGCTTGAACCCATGTTCCCAGAATATCAAACTGGGTCTCTGGTTACTAAGCCCAATGATGCTACCATTATGCTACTATCTCTGGATGCTGTGCAGGAACCAGTGGTTGAAGCATACCTTTGAGAAACGTAATAGAGATTGCGTTATTGAGGCAGGACTCTGCCCTGAAATCCATCACATTAGAGCTGAATGCTATGCCCTTGGAGAGGGAAGTGTGCAGGTGATGCAAAGGAAATAAATGATCACTGATAGAAGTGATATTTATCACTTTATCACAGAGATATTTATCCTTCCCTCATGTAACATAGCCCAAAGCGTACATATTTCCTTGGCATTAAGCAACTGTCAACAGAATCACCTCTAACTAATAATACAGCACTCCCCATTTACTTCCTACGTGATGTGTTAGCAGTTTTCCTGCTTTGTGTGAGTTTGTGGCATCTATAATGTAGGGTCCTTGGGACTCTGAGCATCGACGAGTTGGGAAGACAAATGTTGTGTTTGACAGTTCTTTCTTCCATTGAGTCTTGTTGATCACAAAAATTGCCAGGTGGTGATTAATGATCACAGTGTAGTCTGAATGATTTGTTTATGAGTGCATTTCAGATTTGGATGCTTTGATAAATGCTGACTTCCAGATTAACTGTGAGTTCAAGGTTAATAGCTTTATATAATCACTACCAGTCATGATGACTGTAGGAGCCCCTCTGAGGGCTTCACATTCTAATGCAATATCCTGCCCCCTTGGAAAAATACAGTAACTTACTCTGCCCCCTTTAGAGACACCTTATTATGCAGTTGACTTTCAGCTCAATATAATGAGGTTCCAAATTTGCATTCAGTGCAGGACCTGCCTGTGATCCACGACTTAACCCCATTCTTCACATCCCTGACTGTGCTGCAATTCCTGGGCCTCCTGATTCTGCTTTATCTCAGAGCTCTTGAGGTGCCTATGCCGTGTCGGCTTTACACTCTTCCAATATTGAAACTCTTCCCAAAGTAAACTTGACTGGCCTTGGGCTCCCCCTACTTCAAGACAACACAGTCACCTTCGATACACTACCAGATCCCATCCATCCTATCATCAATCGCATCCTATAACTGTGGCCATTCCCTCTACGACCAAATAAAATGTGGCCAATCCCTAGACTTGAGCTTGCCCAGCAGCATTGATGACACCATGGATTGTCCCCGAAAGGCCCCAGATTATGTACATCCCACCCCACTTGACTGACCGTGGCCTCTGAACTAAATTTAGAGCCAGAGACTACTGGCTACCCCTACCCATCAAAGCTATCAGTGAGAGAACAAGTGCTGCCTCAGTCTAACTGATATCACGCTGCTTGATGTTCCAAAGCTGCTGTGTTGTGCATTGGCCAGTTGTGTGGATATAGAACGAGGAGATACCATGTCCGGTGATCATGGAGACATGGGCCACAGTTGTAGAAGTTCTATCTAAAGTCAAGAGTAAATACCAAAGCAATTGTGAATTCACCTGGACTTGAGCCAGAGGAATTAACTCAACACATATCTCATTTTTACTGTCAGGTTTTGAAGCATCAAGTTTCTCAACTGGGGAAAAGTTAATTGGGAAGCGGAACTTAATAGGGTGCATTGTTTAAGAAATGAGATACAAATCCATACAAACAGACTTCCTGTCACCCTACGGTGGGAATTTGATCTCACCATCTGAGAAGAGAGGATTTAGCTGTGTCGGTTTTTCCCAACACATGAATCTGACTTTTGGACTCACCTGATTATGTCATCATATTCGCTATTATTCTTCCCACCTTATGGAGGTGAAAGTCACACCTTCCATTTCTACAAGGTCCCACAAAAATCAGCCTTACTTCTAATTAGATCGCTGACTGCAGGGCTTCATGAACTTGTTATGGCCACCTAGTGGGATTGTGAGACAACATTTTGGGTCTGAAAGCTCTGAGGCACAATGGCTACTGTAGAGCTCACATTGACCCCAATAAGAACTAAAGTCTACCTAACACGCTCAATGACTGAAATCTCTCCATCCACCATGCAATAACTGTTATTTTCCCAATCCCATCAGAAAGTGGTGTTAAAAGGGTCTTTCTCAGATTGGCAGCCAGTGACAAGTGGTGTTCCACAAGGGTCAGTGTTGGGACCACAACTTTTCACTTTATACATTAGTGATCTAGATGAAGGAACTGAGGGCATTCTGGCTAAGTTTGCAGATGATACAAAGGTAGATAGAGGGACAGGTAGTATTCAGGATGCGAGGAGGCTGCAGAAGGATTTGGACAGGTTAGGAGAGTGGGCAAAGAGGTGGCAGATGAAGTACAATTTGGGAAAGTGTGAGGTCATGCACTTTAGTAAGAAGAATAGAGGTATGGACTATTATCTAAATGGAGTCTGAAGTGCAAAGAGACTTGGGAGTTCTAGTCCAGGATTCTCTCAAAGTAAACTTGCAGGTTAAGTCAGTAGTTAGGAAGGCAAATGCAACTTTGGCATTTAACTTGAGAGGTCTTGAATATAAAAGCAGGGATATACTTTTGAGGCTCTATAAGACTCTGGTCAGGCCACATTTAGAGTATTGTGTGCTGTTTTGGGCCCCATATCTCAGGAAAGATCTACTGACCCTGGAGAGAGTTCAGAGGAGGTTCACAAGAACGGTCCCAGGAATGAAAAGCCTAAAATCTGAAGAACATTTGAGGACTCTGGGTCTATACTCGATGGAGTTTAGAAGAATGAGGGGGGATCGAATTGAAACTTACAGAATACTGAATGGTCTGGACACAGTGGATGTTGGGAGGATGTTTCCATTGGTAGAAGAGATTAAGACCCGAGTGCACAGCCTTACAGTAAAGGGAAGACCTTTTAGCACGGAGATAAGGAGAAACTTTTTTAGCCAGAGAGTGGTGAATCTATGGAATTCACTGCCACAGAAGGCTGTGGAGGCCAGGTCATTGAGTATAGTTGAGACAGAGATAGATAGGTTCTTGATTGTCAAGGGGAGAAAGCAGGGTAATGGGGTTGAGAAACTTATCAGCTATGATTGAATGGTGGAGCAGACTCGATGGGCTGAATGGCCTAACTTCTGATCCTACGTCTTATGGTCTTACGTTCATGTTGGACATGAACTCCAAGGCATTAACTTAGAGTCATACTGGAAAATATCTTTGGGAAACACTGTCCTACTGTTTCTTAATTAAATAGCTAAGTATTTTAGGAATTTTGTTACCCTTTAAATAAATCTCACTTTCCATCCAAATTTAAAAGCTGATAAGAAATAAAACTAGCTCACAAAATAAATGTATTAGCGGACTGTAAAATACTTTGATGTCAAGCTGTCATTACGGTAATATCTTTTATTCGCTCATGGGATGTGTGGATCACTGGTAAGGTCAGGATTTATTGCCCATCCCTAACTGCCCTTGCACTGTGTGGCTAGCTGGGCCATTTCAGAATCAACATCACTGCAGTAGATCTGGAGTTACACATAGATCAGTCCAGACTTTCTTCTAAAAAAAAGTTAGTGTATCAGATGCGCGACCACAACAATCAGCAATGGTTACATAGTTATCAGTAGGCTAGATTTTAATTCCAAACTTTTCACCAAATTCAAATTTCACCACCTGTCATAGTGGGACTCAAACATACATCCCAGCACCCTAGTCTAAGATTCTGGATTACCAGCCCAGTGACATTACCATTACACCACCACTTCTCTGCCGTTCAGACACTTGATTGTACCCCAGCCTAAACCAAACATGCCATAAAATTCATCAGCCTGTTAGTGTCAAAGAAAAACCTGAAACAAGGATTCCTGAAAATAACTAGGATTTAAATATTAAAAAATATAGTTTTATTAAATAAATACTTACAAGGAATCCAAAAACCTTGAGGAAAGCACAGCAGAAACAGTAATTGCTTACATTCCATGCCAAAGAACTTGGAAAATGAATGTTATCAATCTTACGGTCCTGAACAATACAGTAGAATAGTACAGATGTCACTATTCCACAGCTGTATCCTTTTAGATTAAATGATGCATTGAAAGCCTTCCAGCCATTTTTGTATCTGCAAAGTAAGTGGACACTTGAAAGTTCATTAGTAATATTAGTAAGAAAAAAAAACTACTTTACTCTTACAAGAAATAATTAATCCAGTTTTAAATAATGTCATGCCTTTCAATAGATTCTTAGCCCCATACAAATTGTACAGTCCTCAATTTCTACCTGCAGACAGCTATACAAATTAACCATCATCATGTGGAAGGAATTAAGAGTCCTGAAATTAAAATATTTCTTAGGTCTAGGTCCTACCTGCTCCAGAGGTATGTAATAGCATCCCTGAGCAGGTTGATTAGAAAATAGCTTAAAATATTTTTGTTAACCCTTAAGCACTTTTTCCACAGGTACTGTTATAAGCCAAGGCTTCATGGTCCTTTTTCAAGTATGATGAAATTATTGAACACGGTTGGAGAGTCCATGGTCAGAGGCTAAGATGTTTCTTAATAATGAGGATTACTGTAGGTTGAAATACTTTATCATGAGTATTGGATGAGACCGAGACTGTTGCATGTTTTGGAGGGGGTTCTGGATAAATATTTGAGGTTGTGGAAATTACAGAGGTAAAAAAGAAAGCAGGTTAGTGGATCTGGTTCTAATTTTTGGCAGACAATCAGCACAGAGAAGATGGTCTAAGTGACCTCATTCTGTAATGAATGGGTGTCTTTAGCATAGAATTGCAAATGACTAGCTAAACAATGTATTTGTCACAAACACTTTTGGTATACTTTAGCTTCGCATGTTAGTTTGCATGTTACTACAGTGCAATACTGTATAACTAACATATATCAATATACATTTTGCGATCAATCATTTAATTGTGAATGATACAGCAATCGTTTCATGTCAATATCCAGTTTTCAGCATTGAAATAGGATTACAGGATTTTTTTTAGTTACAGCCCTGTATTACGGCAAACACAATTGTTTGAGAACAGCGATTAGTGATCTCAAGAGTTGTTATTACAAGAACAGATAATTCCTTTTCATTTGAAAAATCCAGAATCACTGTCTAACTAAATTTATCTGTGAAAATATGAGCATTTTTTAGTAATACTTTTTCAGGAAGCGACACTTGAATCAAAGAACAAAGTATATTTGTACTTGATACTCAATTCAAATCAAGACCTATCACCAAAGCATTTAAGGTTGGTAATGAAACCTGGATTTTATCTAAAGACAACGTACTCACCAAGATTTAACTTTTTAACACATTTTTGTCATATATTTACATTAGGAAACATTAGAAGTTAACAAAATGGAGCAGAAAATCAAACAAGCCATTAGGAATTATAAAATTGCTTTGGAACGTTTGGTGTTTACATAACTGTTGATAATTGCATTCTTTCTTTGACAATGGAATGTACATACCTGGAAGGGATGTGCCTGCATTCTTCCAGAAGTTCACACAGCTTTAACACACCTCCAGCTAGTAATGATATAAAAAGCTGAAGCATGATTTGCTGTGCAACGATGTTTACTTCAGTGGAAATAAGCATATAGCTGAAAGATGCAAGCATAACAAAGATGGCTGAGCATTTGGCTGCATTTCCACGAGGCAGTGGTATGTCATCTGCGAACATTTGTGACAAGACTACCATCTGTGAAAGTAAATCACAAATTAGGAGTTGCTGATGCAAATGGTCACAATAGCCCATTTTACTTCCACCATCCAGAAAGATCCTGTAGATTCAAGTTGTTCTTAAATGCTTCCAGGGTTTTCACTAGCCCCTAACTCAACCTGAAACACTGTTCCATGCATTGGTCATTTTTTAGGGTAGATCTTTAAAATGGGTGATAGAAAATATGTATACCATTTTACAGCTGTCACAACATGTATAAAACGAAAATTGGGACAGATGTAAAACATGCTGTCAACCTGCTATTGCTCATTTTACATTGTTGCATGAATTCAACATCCAACCCTCAATGTAAAGATGAATTTCCTGACCTCATTCTTAAACCTGCATTTTGCTTGTGAACCTGTGCCCTTATCTCCTATTTACACAAATTAGTTTGAAGTGATTTTTTGCATTTTTTTTCATTCCATTAATAATCTGATATAATTACACAAGATTATCACTTAGACATGGGTACTGTTTTATTGTAAAAGACTGATGGAACTGAACAAGCTCAGGAATATAAAACTGAAACTAAAGTATGCAGCTCATGTACTACTAATGAGAAATTACTGTACATCACTTGTCTGAATGAACAATCAAGAGCACCTAACGATAAAAGGAATGAGGTGAAACACTCAAAGCTCCTTTTGAATTAGAAAGAAATCATATACCATTTTCTCAGAAATTCAAACTTGTCATTGGGCAAAATTAATTAAATATATGATCTGGTGGGAGCTGAGGGACAGGGCTGAGGTGTAGTGGGAGAAACATGAATGTTTTTTTTTTCCTTACGTGCTGTACCCTGCCCAGAAGCCAACCTGAGATGATAGGCTTGGCTTCCTATTGAAGAGGAGGTCACAGGACTAGGTAGATCCAATCCCTAAACCAGTAAGAAGGGATGGTTGGAGATCTGGAGGGTAGGAGACTGGGGGGTGGTCGGTGGGGGGGTAATCAGTGGCCTCTGGAGCAAGGGAAAGGGTTATGGGAAAGTTATGGTCTAAATGCAGAGGTTGGTGAAATTGTCATGCTGAACACAACAGGTGAGTGAAAAGATACTTACTAGATGCAGCAGTTCTCCTATTCCTGTCTCTGTTAGGTGTTGTAAAGCTTGAGAAATCCAGCTGTCCAGTTAAACTTGAAATACTATCTAAAAATAAAGCATGTAGCCTCATGTTCATATTTAAATCACTAACGTGCCTCCAGAGAGAGGAACCAAATGTAGACAGGTTGGACACAAGTTAGGATTTAGTTTTTTAGATCTTTAAACTCTGATTTGGCCCAATCTCACCCACTTCTTGGAGTTAAAATTTTCTTCGTAAGATTGTATTTAAAACAGTATATATTTCTTGATGACATTATTAAAAATAAACATTAGTTGACAAGAAATTCAGGTGTGCAGAACACATCTTCTTGGGTTCTTTGGGATTAATTTCTCCATTAGGACTTATACAGTTAATGGTAGGTCCCTGTGGAGTGTTGCCAAACAAAGAGACCTAGGGGTGCAGGCACCTAATTCCTTGAAAGTGGAGTTGCACATCGAAAGGATGGTGCAGAAGGCGTCTGGCACGCTTGCTTTCATTGGTTAGAACATTGAGTAAAGGAGTTGAGGAGTCATGTTGCGGCTGTTCAGGACATTGTTGATGCCGGTTTTAGAATACTGCATACAGTTCTGGCCATCCTTCTATAGGAAAGATGTTGTTAAACTTGAGAGGGTGCAGAAAAGATTTGCAAGGATGTTGCTGGGACTGGAGAGTTTGAGCTATAGGGAGAGGCTGAATAGGCTGGGGCTTTTATACCTGGAGAGTTGGAGGCTGAGGGATGACCTTACAGAGGTTTATAAAATCATAAGGGGCATGGATAGCATGATTAGCCAAAGCCTTTTTCCTAGGGTGGGGGAGTCCAAAACTAGAGGGCATAAGTTCAAAGCGAGAGGAGAAAGATTTAAAAAAGGACCGTTTTCATGCAGAGGGTGGTGCTTGTATGGAACAAGCTGCCTGAAGAACGGGTGGAGGCAGTTACAATTACTATATTTAAAAGACATCTGGATGGGTATACGAATACAAATGTTTTCGAGGGATAGGGGCCACATGCTGGCAAATCGGACTAAGTCAAATTAGGTCTCTGGTTGACGTGGATGAATTGGACCAAAGGGTCTGTTTCTGTGCTGTAAGACCCTATGACTCTGTGTATGACTCTATTTTACATAATAGTCAGATTCTCTTTTGTCCAGTAACAACATTTGTAATAGTCTATCCCAGGAATGTTACAATAGCATCCCCCGGTGGTGCAGAATAGATATTTGAGTATTTATGCCTTCAAAAGGTTGAAACAACGGCAGACTGAGTGACACTTGACATGACAAATTTTGGGAAAGGCTTTCATAGAATCATACAATCTGTAGTACACAAGAGATCTTTTGGCCCATCAAGTCTATACTGGCGAAAATATACTATGCTTACAATAGAGACAACAAGGTGCAGAGCTGGATAGAAGGGTCTAGGCCCGAAATGTCAGCCTTACTGCTCCGATGATGCTGCTTGGCCTGCAGTGTTCATCCATCTTTGCACCTTGTTGTCTCAGATTTTCCAGCATCTGCACTTCCTACTATCTATGCTTACAATAGTCCCACTTAACTACACTAGGCCTGCAGCCTTGAATGTTATGACACATCTAATGCTCATTCAAATACTTTTTAAAGATTGGGGGATTTCCCATCTCAACTACCCTTCCAGACAGTGCATTTCGGACCCACCTCCAAACTCTGAGTGAAAATAGTTTTCTTCGAATTCCCTCTAAACCTCCTGCCTTCCACTTCAAAATTTTGCTTTCTTGTAGGAAAACAACTGCTTTCTATTTTCAAGTTTGACACGTCCTATGGCTAAGACTAATCTACACGTTTGAAGAGTTAACAATGTGCAGCTAAACAGATACAAATGCTTTCCAGCAAATAAAAATAATAATTATGTAATATATGTTAACCACAGCACAGTTCAAGGATCTTTCAGAACAAACCTAACCATAAAGAATTTGCATAGATTCATTCTAATTAAACTAGGGTTAAGTGCATTTACTTATGAAAGAAGATTGCTTAACCACCTCAGAGTTTACAATACTAGAATTTCATTTTCCATTTATCTGCATTATCAGCAATCCTGCTTATTCTGTTTGTGTTTGGCACACCAACTAGACCCTTAAACATTCACTCCCTCCATAGCTATTCCACAATGGCTGCACTGCATACTAACTGCAACATGCACTGTATCATGGTTGGTTGGCTCGCCGAGCTGGTTCGTTGTTCCGCAAATATTTCATTACCCTGCTGGGTAGCATCATCAGTGCAGCCTCCGATGAAGCGCTGTTGTGTTTTCCTGCCTGGTTTTTAAACTCTGGAATCCGTTGAGCTGGATTACCTCACTTCAGGTTTTCCCTCGTAGTGGAGTGTAAATGTGGTCGAGTTCTATGTGTTTGTTGATGGCTTTCTTCATGGAGTACCAGGCTTTTAGGAATTCCTGTGCCTGTCTCTGCTTTGCTTGTCCCAGGATTTTGGTGTTGTCCAAGTCGAATTGGTGATTGTCCTTATCCATGTGGATAGAGATGAGTGAGAATTGGTCGACACCTTTGTCATCATTAAATGGGCCAAACTAGAGGAGACACACAAACTAATAAACAACACCCTCACCAGAATCAAATTCACCAGAGAGGAGGAGAAGAACAAACAGCTCCCATTTCTGGACGTCATGGTAGAGCTCAAGACAAATGGGGAACTCCAAACGAAAGTACACAGAAAAGCCACACACACAGACCAGGTACTGAACTTCAACAGTAACCATCCTAACACACACAAATGAAGCTGAGTGCAAACAATATTTAAACGGGCAACAACACACTATAGCAGCACAGAACTACGCCGAAAAGAAGAAGAATACCTCTTCCAGGTTTTCAAAGATAATGGATTTCCAAAAACTGGGTCAGAAGATGCCTACACAAACAGCATCAGAAAGATTCTACACGCCCCGACACACTCATCACACGACCATACATCAGGAACACATCGGAACTAACCACAAGACTCCTACGACCGCTGGGCATCCGAGTGGCACACAAACCCACATCAACCCTACGACAACTGCTTACCCAAACCAAAGACCCACTTCCCACTATGGACAGGACCAACGTCATCTATAAGATTCCCTGCAGAGACTGTGACAAACATTACATCGGACAAACTGGAAGGAAATTAACAACAAGGGTACACGAATACCAACTGGCTACAAAAAGACACAACCAATACTCACTCATCTCTATCCACATGGGTAAGGAAAACCACCAATTTGACTGGGACAACACCAAGATCCTGGGACAAGCAAAACAGAGACAGGCACGGGAATTCCTAAAAGCCTGGTACTCCATGAAGAAAGCCATCAACAAACACATAGAAATCTACCCCATTTACACTCCACTACGAGGGAAAACCTGACGTGAGGTAATCCAGCTCAACAGATTCCAGAGTTTAAAAACCAGGCAGGAAAACACAACAGCTCTTCATCGGAGGCTGCACTGATGATGCTACCCAGCAGGGTGATGAAATGTCTGCGGAACAACGAACCAGCTCGGTGAGCCAACCAACCGCAACACCCATAACCCGAGCTACAAATCTACTCCAAAACCTTAGTGCACTGTATCAATTTGTCAAAGCTGCATTAAAAGCACCTTCCAAACCCACGGCCCCTACCACCTAGGAAATCGAGATCTGCAAGCACATGGGAGCACCACCAGCTATGAGTTGTTCACCAAGTCATATGCCGTTCCGTTGAGGAAATATATCACCATTCATTCATTGTCACTGAGGCAAAAATCCTGGAACTTTCCAATCACCATTCCTTCATTATCATTAAGGCAAAAATCCTGGAACTCTCCAATCACCATTCCTTCATCATCACTAAGACAAAAATCCTGGAACTCTCCAATCACCATTCCTTCATTATCACTAAGACAAAAATCCTGGAACTCTCCAATCACCACTCCTTCATTGTCACTGAGGGAAAAATCGGGAACTCTCCAATGCCACTACGGGTGTACCTATGCCTCATGGACTGCAGTAATTCAAGAAGTCAACTCATCACTATCTTCTGAAGGGAATAATGTTTGCTTTGTCAGCGATGCTCACATCCCATGAATTAATTTAAAAAGGCGTCTTCCTTCAAGTATATTGCCATGCAGCTAAGGGAAACATTTATAGATAAAGGATGGCAAATTAGCTATCCCTTAATTGCTTTAATACCTGGTACCTGTACTTTCATTGCAACAGTGGATTGAATACACTTCAAAGGCATTGTGGTCTTTGGCATTTGGAAGATTCTAAAGATATGAAAGAAGATGCAAGTTATTTATTTAAATAATATAACAAATGCTTTTTGCTGTAGTTTGTATTAATATAACCTGAAGACTAGATAGAACAATGGACATTCGACAGATCTGCCTACAGTATTTTATGGTGCATTTTAATTGTGTTGCACAATAGTGATAGGATGTCATCTATTTCTAGCAGCCCAAGTATAACATTTAAAACTTTAGAAAGAAAAGGGTTAGGAATTGGAGCTGTGTTATTGCATTTTGAAGATGATATCAAGTTAGAAGCTATAACTGATAGTCTGGAACATTGCAGGAAGACATAAAAAGCTTACAAAGTGATTGGATAATGACAAATGAAATTTGTTTGCATATACAAGAGTTCATAATTTAATAAAAGTACTTTAATGCACAGAAAGGTCACAAAAGAAGACATAAGGCAATGGCCAGATAATCTAGTTTCTCTGTTCGTTGATGGATAGCCATTGGCCAGAACATCAGAATTCCGACTCTCTTGCTCTTCTTCAAATTATAACGAGACCAGCAAGAGCTTCTCACTTCTTGTAACAATTTGATTCCATTCTGTCTCCATTACATCCATTCTGATGATCAAAGAAGTCTTATGACACAACAAAGGCCATTCAGCCCAACATATCTGTACCAGCTCTTCAAATGGATGTCATTGCCTAGTGCCAATCTCCTGTTCTTTTTCCTAATAACCTTGCATGCAACTCAATCTTCAGTGCTTATTATATGTTATCCTTTTCCCTTAAACAAGAACATCCCTCTCTGCCACATGCTATGGTAGACAGGGCCTTCAACCTTGTCTGTTCCATTTCATGCACTTCTACACTCACCCTATCACCTTTCTTCCAGAACCATAATAGAGTTCATCTTGTCCTCAACTTCCACCGTGTCAGTCTCTGTATTCAAATGATCATTCTCCGATATTTCCATTTCCAATTCAAAAACATCTTCGTTGTCCCCCACCCTTTCAGCATTCCAATGAGCTATTCCCTCTGTAATGCCTTGATTGACTTCTCAGTCACTTCCATCAGTCCCTTTCATTCCCCTGGCACATCTCTGTGCAAGAGTGGGAATGCAACACCTGTCCTTATAAACTTCTCCTTTCTCACAATCCAATACTTTGAACACTTCTTCCAGGTGAAAAAGTGGCTTAGTTATAATTTTCAATTGAGTACACGTACTTGCTATTTTCTTTCACACTGGAGAGGCCTCGTGCAGGCTGGATGATTGCTGTGCAGAGCACTTGTGCACAGTTTACAAGTGTGACCATAAGCTTCTGGTCACCTGTCAGTTTAATTCTTCACTTTGCTCCCACTTTCTGTTCTTGGTCTTCCGCAGATTCCCAATTTAGTTCAAAGCAAGCTCAAGGAACAATATCAAATCTATGAACTGTGTGTTTTGGAACCTTCTGGACTGAGTTTATCAACGATAGTTTGTAACTTCTGATGCCCACCCTTTCGTTTCATTCACTTCTGTCGATTTGTTTCTTCATCTCTTTGTTCCATCGTTTTCCCCTATAGTTTTGGCTTTCCCATGGCACCTATTCAAGCCATTCACGCCACATTAAGAACATGAATTAAAGAATGTTGAAAGACTTTATAAAATAAAGTACAATATAAAATAAAGAGTACAACTCTAAAGGGGTGCAGGAGTAGAGGGTCCTGGAGTGTATGTGAACTGATCAGTGACAACACAAATAGACAGAGCAGTTAATAAAGCATATAGTGTCATTGGCTTTATTAATTGAGGCATAGTACAAGAGCAAGTACTGTTGATGTTGAAGTTGTACAGGACGCTTGTTAGACCTCAGCTGGAATATTGTGTGAAGTTATGGGCATCACATTTTTGGAAATATGGGAATGCATTGGAGAGATTGCAGGAATGAGAAACTTCAGTTATGAGTATAGACTAAAGAAGTTGGGACTGCTCTGCTTGGAGACAAGAAGGCTGAAAGAAGATTTGACAGAGGTTTTCAAAATCATCATACAGTAGATAAGAAGAAGCTGTTCCCACTCATAAAGCAAAAAAAAGAACCAGAGGGAATAGAGTTAAAGTGTTGTGCAAACTAAGCAAGGGTGATGGGAGAAAACCACTTTTTTACACAGGGAGTAGGTAGGGTTTGGAATGCACTGCCTGTAAACATAGTGGAAGCAGGTTCCATTGAAGCATTCAAGAGGACATTGGACGATTAGTTGGATAGAAATGGTGTGCAGGGAAATTGTGAAATGGCAGGAAATTAGTACCAGAAAAGAGAACCGGTGCTGGCACGATGGGCGAATGGCTTTACATGGGCCGAATGGCTGTAGTAATTCCAGGCTTATCTTTTGGTCCTTTACTTGTCCCATTACCACTTCCTTTGACCATGCATCATGAAACTTTTTTTTTAATTTAATCCCTCTTGCCCTCCATTTGGTAACAGACTTCCTCTTCACTTCTCCTTCATGGCCCGTTTCATTTGCTCAAAAGCTATTACATTTCGATAACTTGCCCCAGTTCTGATGAAAGGCCATGGTCCTGAAACATGAACTTTGGCTCGCTCGCCACGAAGATGCTGCCGGCTGAGCTGCGTGTTTTGTACACTTCCTACTTTTGTTGCAGATTTGCAGCATCAGCAGCAAGTGGCTTTCAACGCTGGCGATGCAGCAAGCAACGATTTGGTTCGTTTATAAAACACTGAAGTCGTTTCCCATTGTAACCTAGCAAGCACAAATCGACACCGAGAGAAACCGCCACAGACACAACGAGAAATAGTAAGAACTGCCGATGCTGGAGTCAGAGACAACACAGTGTGGAGCTGGATGAACACAGCAGGCCAGGCAGCATCAGAGGAGCAGGAAAGCTGGCGTTTCGGGTCGGGACCCTCCTTCAGAAAAAGGAGAGGGGTAAGGATCTGAAGAAGGGTCCCGACCCGAAACGTCAGCTTTCCTGTTCCTCTGATGCTGCCTGGCCTGCTGTGTTCATCCAGCTCCACACCCTGTTATGTAGCAAACACCTTTGTGTTTGAAGACAGGACAACTGAGTCGCAATCGGGGTGCCTACAATTCGCACACTCCTCCGCTTTAATCGTTTGAAAAGAAACAGAATAATCACTTCGGAAGTCTCTTACTTTCTATGGAAGGGAGCTTCTCCAAGGAAGAGAATATCGGTACCTAGCATGCAGCTAATAGCTATCTGCTGTCCCAGCGGGGTTTGAATGTGTTCACTCACTTCTCGCTGTCTGTTTTAGCTCACAGCTCCCCGAAGACCGGGAAGATCTTCCACCCGCTCCTGCCCTCAATCCTCTTCTCACACTTGTCTTCAATTTCCAAGAAAGAGAACGGGCTTGATTTCCGGAAGTCATTGAGAATTGCACAATAAGACTGAGCAAACCTACACTCCCATCCAGTGGATGGTTTCGTTTTGTACTTTTCTCAAGTGCGGTGACAGCTATCAGGAATCCAGTTTTGTTTTTTTTTCCCGACCGCGCCTCCTCTCTGCTGAAAGTGTCTGAATTTTGTACAAAAAAAAATCCAGCTTCTACTGAGGAGTAAATGGATGTGGAGGCGGGTTCTCAAACTGCACACTCAGCCAATATAGTCCGGGGATTTCTATATTGGGATTTTTTTTTATTTGCCCTTATATGCATATTTCAGTTTCTTTTAAACCTAAAACATTTCTGTTGCAAAATTCTGTGCATTTATCTACCTCGAATTGAAGAGAGCAAAAATAGTTGAAACCTGCAGAAAATAAGTGTACCTGCCTGCTCTCTAACTGAAGTAGCAGGTTTGGACCAGGAACAACAGTAAACCTTGTCAAAAATACAATAGATCTCAGTTGTAGCCAGTTGTCATTTACCAGTGAAAAGTGCAATACGGTGGGTGCAGGAAAACTGAAATAAAGGCAGAAAGTGCTGCAGAAACTCAACAGGTCTTTTTGATTGGATTTGATTTATTATTGTCACATGTGCCTAGGCACAGTGAAAGTTTTGTTTTGCATGCAGTACAGGCAGATCAGACCATACAAAGTGCACAAGGCTAATAGAACAGATCAAGGAATACAGTTCTGAGGAAGGGTCACTGGACCCGAAACATTAACTCTGCTTTTTTTTCTTTCACAGATGCTGCCAGAACTGCTGAGCTTTTCCAGCAACTTTGTTTTTGTTCAAGGAATACAGTGTTGTGGCTGCAGAGAAGGTGCACAAAGAGCGAGGTCAACTTAAACTTAAAATTTGGCAAGTCCATTCAGAAGTTTAATAGCAGTGGGGAAGAAGCTGCTCTTGCATCTGTTGGTATGTGTGTTTAAGCTCTTGTTTCTTCTGCCTAACGGAAGAGGTTGGAAGAGATTATAACCGGTTTGGGAGGAGTCTTTGATTATGTTGGCTGCCTTTCAAAGGCAGTGGGAAATATAGATGGATTCAGTGGATGGAATGTTGGCTTGCGTGATGGACTAGGCTGTGTCCTCAACTCTCTGTAGTTTCTTACAGTCATGGGCCTTGATGCATCTGGATATCGTGCATCTGTGAAAATCGATAAGAGTCTTTATGGACATGCTGAATTTCCTTAGCCTCCTGAGAAAGTAGAGGCTTTGTTGTGCTTTCTCAACCGTAGTGTCAACCAGGAAGATTGTTGGTGGTCGTCACTCCTCGGAACATGAGCTCTCGACGATCTCCACCTCAGCACCAATGATGTAGAAAGGGGCATGCCCTGCACCATGCTTCTTTAACTCAATGACCAGCTCTTTCATTTTGCTGACATTGAGGATCTGGTAGCATCTCTGTGGAGAGAGAAACAGAATTGAAGGCAAGAGCCCATGGGATCCAGGGAAATTTGGCTAATTGGATCCAGAATTGGCTGAGTGGCAGGAAGCAGTGGGTGATGGTCAAGGGGTGTTTTTGTGACTGGAAGTCTGTGCCCATTGGGATTGCATAGGGATCAGTGTTAGGACCTGTGCTGTTTTTGGTAAATATAAATTATTTAGACCTGAATGTAAGAGGATTGATCAATAAATTCACAGATGATACTAAAATTGACGGGGTAATAAATATCAAGGAAAATTGCATTCGATTACAGGACAACAAAGATGGGCTGGTCAGATGGACTGATCGGTGACTGGATCAGTCTGGAGATGTGTGAAGTGATACGATTTGGGCAGGGCAGATAAGGCAAGGGAATACATGATGAACGGTAGGACCCTGGGATGCATTGAGGATCAGTTCTCTCCAACAGCATCACAAAACACTGCTCAGGGCTGCACCACATTGCAGCTCCACTTCATCCTCCGACTCATTCGTCATGCTAACCAGTAACTTTTTCTTTCCCTTTCAGGCATCAAGGCCTACAAGATGCAATAACTCAGAGATACCCATGGCCCTCTGGAACCTTGCTCTCCTCCCCTTCCCTCTGACTTCATCCCCTCCCCCAACCCCACCACCTCCTGTCGGGTATTCACCATCCCTCCTAACCTTCCGCTCTCCGACGCTGAATGTTCTGTACTCAGCAAAGGCCTCAGCTTTATCCCTCTGCATCCCCACCTTAATGAATTTCGGGCATGACATGACGCTGAAACCTTCTTCCGCTGTCTTCACCTCCGTGCTCATTTCTTTGGACAAGAGTCCTCTCCACATCCCACAGACCCTTTCGCCCAGTTCCAACACTCTCCCTCCACCTGGACCCCTCCCTCCGGCCTTTTACCTGCACTTGATCTTTTCATTGAGAATTGTCGACGTGATATTAGTCGCCTCAATTTCTCTGCCCCTCTCACCAAATCCAACCTCCATGCACTCAGATCTAACCCTAACTTTGTTATTAAGCCTGCCGATAAGGGTGGTGCTGTTGTAGTCTGGCCAACTGACTTCTACATTGCAGAGGCTGAGTGCCAACTCGCAGATACCTCCTCCTACCTTCCCCTGGACCATGGCCCCACCATGACACATCAGGCCATTGAATCAACCGCAATAACTGATCTCATTTCATCCAGTGATTTCCCCACTTCTGCTTCCAAGCCGAGAGTCCGCCAGCCCCGCACAGCTCGCTTCTACCCCCTCCCAAAAATCCACAAACAGGAATGTCAGGACAGACAAATTGTTTCAGCCTGTTCCTACCCCACAGAACTCATCTCTTCCTACCTTGACTCAATCTTCTCTCCCCTGGTCCAATCCCTGCCCACGTACATCAATGATTCCTCTGACGCCTTACGCAGGTTTCAAATCTTCCAGTTTGCTGGTTCCAGCCACCTCCTTTTTACCGTGGATGTGCAATCCCTTTACACATCCATTCCCCACCAGGAGGGTCTTAGGGCTCTCCGCTTCTTCCTGGGGCAAAGACCTGAACCATCCCCACCCACCACCACCCTCGTCCACTTGACCGAGCTTGTCCTCAGCCTCAACAACTTCTCTTTTAACTCCTCGCATTTTCTTCAGGTAAGAGGGGTGGCCATGGGTCCTAGTTATGCCTGTTGCTTCGTGGGGTACGTGGAACATTCCCTGTTCCAGTCCTATTCCGGCCCCCACCCACAACTCTTTCTCTGATGCATCGATGATATCATTGGTACTGCTTCCCTTTCTCATCTGGAATTGGAAAACGTCATCAATTTCGCCTCCAATTTCCACCCTGCCCTCACTTTCACCTCATCTATCTTTGACTCCTCCCTTCCCTTCCTGAACATTTTTGTTTCCATTCCTGGGAATAGACTGGCCACTAATATCCACTACAAACACACTGACTCCCACAGCTACATGGACAATACATCCTCACACCCCACTTCCTGTAAAGACTCCATCCCATTCTCTCATTTCCTCTGTCGTATATGTTCAAATGAGGCTAACTTTGACAAGGGAGCCTCCGAAATGTCCAACTTCTTCCTCATCCGAGGAATCCCCAGCACCGTGGTTGACAAGGCCCTCAAGCGGGTCCGACCCATCTCTCGCACTTCCGTCCTCACCCCTTCTCTTCCCTCCGGCAACAGCGATACCATCCCACCAGCAAGCTCATCCAGAAGATCATCAGGTGCCATTTCTGCTACCTCCAGCAAGATTCCACCACCAGACATATATTCCCCTCCCCTCTCTTGTCCACCTTCTGCAGGGACCTGGTCCACACTTCCTTCACCCCCAACACCCCCCCACAGCCCGACAGCACCTTCCCCTGTAACCAGCGGAGATGCAACACCTGCCCATTTACCTCCTCCCTCCCCAGTATCCAGAGGCCCGAACATACCTTCCAGGTGAAGCAACACTTCACCTGCACTTCCTAGAATCTAGTCTACTGCATTCACTGTTTACAATATGGTCTCCTCTACGTTTTTTCCTTCACAGATGCTGCCAGACCTGCTGAGCTTTTCTGGCAACTTTATTTTTGTTGTTGTGAGGATCAGAATGACCTTGGTGTGCATGTCCACTGGTCCCTTAAGGTCGCTGAACAGGTAGTTAAACTGATTAAGAAGGCATATGATATACTTGCCTTTATAAGCCAAGGACAGAGTTTAAGAGCAGGGAGGTTATGTTGGAACTGTAGAAAATATTGGTTAGGTCACAGCTAGGGTATTGTGTGGAGTTTCGGAATCCACATTATAGGAGGGATGTGATTACACTGCAAAGGAGATTTACCAGGATGTTGCCTGGCCTGGAGAGATTGTTATGGTGAAAATTTAGATAGAATGAGATTGTTTACCTTGGAGCAGAGGAGACCAAGGTGGGACATGGTTGAGATGCATAAAATTATGTAGGGTATAGACAGGGTAGACAGGAAGGAACGTTTCCCCTTGATAAAGGGATCAATGACCAAAGCATATTGATTTAAGGGAAGGGGCAGGAGGTTTACAGGGATTGTGAGGGGGAAAAAAATTCTGCCAGAGGGTGATGGGAATCTGGAATTCACTGCCTGTGAGGGTGAGAGAGACAGAAACCTTCATCACCATTAAGCAGTATTTAGATCCACAATTGCTATGCCAGGGCATACAAGGCAATGGGCTTTATACTGGAAAATGGTATTAGTTTGTTTTTGACTGGTGCAGACTCACTGGGCCAAAGGACCTTTTATTATTCTGTAGACCTCTCTAGTGTTATGAGTCTAATAACCTTCAGAGCAATTCTCCAGCACTTTTTTTTTTACATGTGATTTACAGGTGACCTGTGAAATGGGGACTGAGTGTCACTCTATCATCCATCTCATGCACTCATTAACCACGCACGCTCACCACTCACAGACACTCTTTGATCAATCACCAATTGTCAAATCACTCAAACTCATCAGTCAAGCCAGGGGAGTGGTGCCGGACCCAGGTAAGTGGGTTGTCCTGGTGGTAGAGGCAGCAGATTAATAATCCACCTGAGGGGAGAGGCCAGGGAAGCTGAATGGGGAGTTGGACAAGAGGCTGGGTGGAGCAGCAACAAAAGCCTGTTGAAGACCCAGATCAGCTTTGGTGGTGGTGGTGAGTGGTTATTAGAGGATGAGCTGTTGAAGACTTAGGGCAGGCACACATCCATTTAGAAGTTCATT